CCCCGGGGCAGGGCCGTTCTGGCGCCCGTGGGCAGATGGGTTTAGGGCACCGGCCCCGTCTGCTGTGGAGGGCTGCCTTTAGGTGCCACATTCCACTTAGGGCCCTGGCCTGGGACCCAGAGGAGAGGGCGGGCCCGGGTCCCCCACTCCCCTCGCACCCACCCCTAAAGTAAAGCCCCTCCCCCGAAGCCGCAGTACTTACGGACGCCCAGCTTGGGCGAGACAAAGGGGGTAGGGACCCCAGGGCCCGTGTTGGGCCGGACCCCTCCCAGCCGCTCGGACACGGGGCGGGCCGTGGTGGTGGGTCCGCTGAGTCCCTCCCCCTGCCTGGAGCGGGGGGGTGATCGCACCCCACTTACGCACCACATTGAGACCCGCATAGGGACCATCTGAACGGACTAAAGGTGGAGGGTACGCGGAGCCCCGACCCCTCAGTTAAGTGGGAAGCCGAAAGGGGGGGCGCAAGGAGCTCACACCCGTAAACCCGCCACAGGCCAAATTTCCCACTGCCTTAAGCAGCGACAGCTTCACTGTTAGTTAATGTACTTATTTTCAGCAGCTCTTTCTTCAGTCCATTCTGAAAAATCCTGACAAAAACCACTCTTAATGAATTTGGACATGACTTACACACTGCCCACAGATACAGAGACCACAGATAGAGACCCAGGATCAGGAAAGGGTCTAATGACAGCACGATGGATAGAGATGATCTAATCAAACTACAAGGTACAGAGTGATGGGTGGTATCTAAAGTGTCAGAGGGTGGTAACCTGATGTCAGGAGTGATGTGTAACATGTTTGTACCTGTATATAAAATGGTGTGTTGGGGGGGGGGCATACTCCTTTGTATGCTGGGGGGGGCAATGGGACCTCCTACTGATTGAATCATTCCATTGTTATGAATTACATTTGCGTAGTGGTTCTGTAGAGTCTACTGACAACTATTAGTGAACTTTGCTTTACAATAAACCTGGCCAGGAACCTTTGATCCTTATCTGATTTGTAGTCTTTGGTGGCTTTCTTGAGGTCTGCTATGGAGACTTAAGTGCTGCTGGGGGGGGCAATGGGACCTCCTACTGATTGAATCATTCCATTGTTATGAATTACATTTGCGTAGTGGTTCTGTAGAGTCTACTGACAACTATTAGTGAACTTTGCTTTACAATAAACCTGGCCAGGAACCTTTGATCCTTATCTGATTTGTAGTCTTTGGTGGCTTTCTTGAGGTCTGCTATGGAGACTTAAGTGCACAAGTTGAAACAGCACACATCACTGAGTACACACGCAAGCAGCCTTCTGGTTATCATCATCATCTTCAGTTTCAAACTGCAGAGCTACAATTCATCTGCAAATTTGATACTATCAGTTTAGGATTAAACAAAGACTGTGAATGGCTAGCCAACTACAAAAGCAGTTTCTCCTCTCTTGGGCTGCATCTACACTGGCATGATTTTGCACAAATACTTTTAACTGAAAAGTTTTTCAGTTAAAAGTATTTGCGCAAGAGAGCATCTACACTGGCATGTGCTTTTGCACAAAAGATGTGCTTTTGTGCAAAAGCATCCGTGCCAGTGTAGACGCTCTCTTGCGCAAGAAAGCTCTGATGGCCATTTTAGCCATCGGGCTTTCTTACACAAGAAATTAACGTTGCCTGTCTAACCTGGCAGGGCTTATCCCTGAGCGGGCGCATCAGAGTATTTGTGCAAAGAAGCACTGATTTTATACATTACAACGTCAGTATTCTTGCGCAAATACTCACGGGCCAGTGTAGACAGGAGGCAGGATTTTGCGCAAAAGCAATTGCTTTTGCGCAAAATCTTGCCAATGTAGACACAGCCTTGGGGGTATGTCTAGACTGCATCCCTCTGTCAGCAGAGGGATGCAGATTAGGCAGGTCGACATTGCAAATGAGGCAGGAATTTAAATATCCTGTGCCTAATATGCATTAAAATGCCTTCCATGTTTTTCCGACTCAGCACTTTGTCGACAAAAAGCGGCAGTCTAGAGGGGGCTCTGTCGAGAAAGAAAGCCTTTTTTGACAGATCCCTTATGCCTCCTGCAAGGGATCTGTCAAAAAGGCTTTCTTTCTCGACAAATCCCCCTCTAGACTGCTGCTTTTTGCTGACAAAGTGCCAAGTCAGCAAAACACAGTGGCCATTTTTATGCAAATTAGGCACGGGATATTTAAATCCCTGCCTCATTTGCAATGTCGACGTGCCTAATCTACATCCCTCTGCCGAGAGAGGGATGTAGTCTAGACATACCCTTGGTGTTATACCTCCACAGCAGCTGCTAGAAGTGCGCCTCATCCTCCCTGACTGAATTAACCTTGTTACCTCTAGCCTTACTCTTGATTAGAACTCTTTTCTTATGCCTGTATATTTATATCTGCCTCTGGAATTTCCACTACATGCATGTGACTAAGTGAGTCTTTGCCCACAAAAGCTTATGCTCCAATAACTCTGTTAGTCTATAAGGTGCCACAGGACTTCTAGTTGTTCTTCCAGATTCAGACTAACACGGCTACTCCACTGATACTTAAATACTGTGGTGTACCTACATACCAGTGATTTAAATCACTACATTTATTAAACTGAGGGCAAAGGAAATTGTGGATGGAACACTTCACCCTTGAAAATACTATCTGAAAGCTTTTACCAAAATACTGGAAAATGAGGAACATTACAGTTCAAACTATGTTGCCTTAACTGTTTATTTCCATAGATATTTAGTATAGCAAGTTGAAAATAGGATTTTTTTTTTAATTCAGCATTGTCCATTTCTATTTTAAATATTCTTATAGTTCACAAATGCTCTTAAAGAGTGTGTAATTAACTTTTTTGTACACCTATTTATATGGTATTTGAGGCCACCTGAATATTTATTTATACTTCCATAGCTGTTCACTTAAGGGTTTGGCTTTTGTCATTATATATATATATGAAAAAGTAAGTGAGGCTCAAAGCAGAATTTTTGAAATATGCTCTCAACCATTCACATGAGCCCTGATCCTGGAAGGTGGGCCATACAGAACTTATAGGGGGATTAGGGCAATATGTCTTTTACAAGGATGATCTCTTGTCGCCTGACAGAAGATGACCTCAAAGTGGCAGAGCTTGGTTGCAAGGTTTCCCAAAATTCCTACGGTTCCCCTGGTTCATGAATCTTATGGAATACATGATGAAGGTTCACTCTCTCCAAAAGTTTGACTACGTTAACTGTTTTAAAACAAAAACAAGCTGTTAATGCTTTGCAACCATGCTTTAGGTGGAGTATAACTTAGTAGTTGTCCAGTTTTAACAACAGATTTTGTTCTTAAGAAAATGCATTCTGGCCTCATTAGCACAAGTGGGCTAACCTAAGATCTGATGGGAGGCCTTCTAATGTAGAGAAAGCTTAGGGGACACATCTTAAAAGCACATGCCACACCCAGTAGCATTGCGAATTCTTGCAGTTTCATTCTGTGTCTTAAAATATGGAGCTCCAGGTGCAAAAAAAGGGATTTCAAGTTCCTAACTTTCACAGGAGAACAGGAACTGAAATCGCTTTGTGGCTCTGCCCGTTGATGAGAAGTGAAATCTCTAGGATTCGGGTTTGCGGGTTTTCCAGCTGCTCCCCGTGGTTGCTGAAGCCTGAAGAAAGGAAAGCGACCCGAGATACACAGCAACAAATTCAAAAACCCGGAAGGGCAAAGAATCCGCTTTTCAGCCGTGATTTTCCTAAAGCCCACGGGGCTGTGTGGGGGCAGGGCACGTGCTGGTTTCCAGCCTGAGCCTGCTGAAAGCTGCCGGGACGGGGCAATGGCTGGGGAGGAGGAGGCCGCACGCTGCAAAGAGCCGCCCGCCCGCGCGCAAGAGGCGGGGAGGAGAGCGGGGTTCCATGGGGAAAAAAAGCTGCTCCCGCCTGGCCACGCTTGTTCGGCGGCCGCCCCTGCCGAGCGGACCCTGTTTCTATTGGAAGGCAGCGCCGGCCGAGTATCCCAGAGCCAGTGGCGTCATTTTCCCGTCTCTTTATCCCTCCCTTTCTCGCTCTGCCCCGCCCCCGGATTCTGATTGGTTGTGCCTCTGTCGCTTCCATTGTCCCCCTCCAGCTGGTTGGCTGGCTAAGGTAGGGCGGGCTTGGAGACGCGCGTGCGCGCGCGCCGGGAGACGCTTTGTAGCCGCGTGAGGCGAATGTTTCGGGGAGACGCGCGCCCTCAGGGTATGACTGGCAACGAGCCTGTTGCGCGCGCTGCAAGTCGCTACGAGAGCGCTGGGCCGCGCCCATTGCCCTCCGTTGCGCGTGGGGATCTTGCCTGGCATGTGCCCGGGCCGAACCCTGCTACGTCACCAGCCTCTGAGTTAAATCGGTGTAACCCCTCCCCCGTGTGGACACACTGATACCGGTGGGAAGCTGCGTGCTTTGCAGCGGGGAGGCCAGACAGCGCCTCAAGGGGAAATAAGGAGGCACTAGGCAAGGGGGCACCCCCGCCTGGGCAAGGAGGCACTAGGCAAGGGGGCACCCCCGCCCCCATCTGGGGAGGTGGGGAAAGGGGAAGAGACGGGGCCCGGTCCCACAAAACACGATTGAACAAGGGCCCAAGTTTCTTGCAGTGGGTGTGGGCAACTGCTCCCCTCTCCCCCATGTTGTAGCGATTGCAAAGTAATAAGGCAAACAAGGAGTGTGGCATGGCAATGGCTCCTCTCCCTTCATTGGAAGCAGATCAATCCAGTCATTTTGTGGAAATACTCACCCAAGCGATACTAAAATGTTTTTATTTGATTTATAACTCTTCCCCGCCTCCCTTCAAAGAAAAGTTATGCACACCCTGATTAGTAATATGTTACCAATTTAATATGGGACCCCAGGCCTGTCCTTGAGCCCTGCCAGCATTCACCTAGGTACTTTAACTTCAAGAACCTGAGCAATCAGGTGGTGGCCCTTTCCAGTTGCTAACATAAGAACAGCTGTACTGGGTCAGACCAAAGGTCCATCTAGCCCAGTAGCTTGTCTGCTTCTAGTTAAGGTGAGTGTCTTTGCAAGGTCAGGGCCTAATTGGTGAGGAGCCCTTCTATGATTTCTTCTTGCAGTTTTAAAGATGCCCATTTATCTTGCTAATGGTGAAATTTTAAACATGAAGCAATAATTAGGATTGGTGTGGTTTTCTTATTTTCTTCCCTACAGGCTGATATCTGAGAGTTGACTTTCATGGTGTCCTAAATGAACATATACACTGGTAAGTGACTGGATGGATAAGATGATATGTAGCGTGGAGGTTGTCAAGTAGTTGCATATCTTTGATTTTCCTAAGGGTGACTAGCTTTAATTAATCACTCACAGTGAAATTGTGCATGTCATGGATTTATTATTGGTTTATTAAATAGACTCCTATAAATATTAATATCTATATGCATATATGTAATTAAACATTCAGTAGCATTGCATGGGGAAATACTTTTTCAAGTTCACATGTCTATTAGAAAGCTTCATTGGCAGCTCTATAAAGTTTGCGCTTAGCTTTTTGATGAGGGACAAAAAATCTAAAATTTGAAAACGGTTTTGGTTCTAGTACACTGAACAACAGTTTGTAGATATTGGCTAGATAAAATTAGGAGGTAGTGTTGAACAAGAGCCTTGGTTTTCTGAAAGTATACTGATTGTCAAATACTGAGCTGGTTGGGCCTTTTTGTTGTAAATTAGGGATGTGAGTACTTGACTACTCGCTCCTCCCGCCCTGTTGCCTCTGTATCAGGAGTTGTCTTAAAAGCTGGTTTTCCCCCTCCCTCCCCCAGTACAGTTGCTTCCTGCTCCCTCCCCTCACTGCTGCCTCTATTAGAAGTAGCAGGGTGAAAGTGGGTGGGTAGAGGAGGCTGCTGTGAAGCAGCTTGTGCACCTGGCTCTTCCTATATTTAAACTGAAGAGCCACAGCGGAGTTAGCTCCTAGAGCAGCACAAGCCAGGACAGAGCACCTTCCCTTATTGACTAATCTTGTACAGGCAGTCCCCGGATTACGTACAAGATAGGGACTTGTAGCTTTGTTCTTAAATTCAATCTGTATGTAAGTCGGAACTGGCATCAGCCGCTGCTGAAACTGATCAGCGGCTGATTCCAGGAAGCCCTGGGCAGAGCAACTCTGCCTCGGGCTTCCTGTAGTCAGCCCCTGGTCAGTTTCAGCAGCAGCTGAAACTGGGCGCCCGTTCCCACCAATACAG